GCACTGTGCTGAGTCACAAATCCTCCCCTGCTTCCTCCCTGCTTGCAGAAAGTAGTAGTTTTCTTCTGAACTATATTAGCAGAAAAATAATTACCTCCCACACCCCTGGCACTGGCTTAAGTATGAAAATGTGTCTTTGTGTGTGTATCAGGAGGCAGAGGAGGGATGGATGGGCTTGAAGGTCCTCTCTTTTCCCTTTTATTCCCGCTCATTTTCAAGGGGTCATTTGTATGAGACTGTCCTTGCTCACTCTTCTGATTCAGGCACCCTCACAGGGTAGTCAAAATACAGCCCATGGAAAAGTAGACTTGGGATACACTTTCTCTAGAGACCTGGACTACTAAGATGATGAGAACAGGAAGCTGCCCTGTCTAGCATACCAAATCAGATCCAAAACTAAAGACACATAAAAATGTGAGTTAGAGCTGTGCTTGGAAAGGCCCAAATGTGAGTTCTGAGGCCAGCCTACCATTAGTTTCCTTGGTTATGTTCCACAATGCAACAATGCCAAGTGCATTTTAGCAGCTGGGTCTGGTGCACTTTATTTTTTTTCTCTCGTGCCATCTTGCCGAGCGTTGGTTGAAATCCAAAATCGCTTGTAAGTACACAACGGGGTGTGCAGGTAATCCCATTGCTTTAGGTGCAAACACTTACATGCTTAGAGATAAAGCACATTCTTCAATAACTGCCTGAATCGATGAGACAGCAACCAGCCCCTCTCATCACTGTCTTCCTGAGAGAAAAGTACAGCATCATATAATAGCTCTAAAACACCTGCAGCATCCCAACAGTGTATTTCCCATAGCTCTGAGAGAGATCGGTGTTACTTGGTATAAGCTTTTTTCCTTCTTTCTTCCTTAGTCTCCCTGCACCGCAGTTGTATCCTAAACCTTTGGGTTGACGCAGTCCTCTAGAGGCTAAAAAGGGCTTGAGCTGGTATAAAAAGCAATGTTTTTCCCATGTAATAAATATTTAAAATGTTTTATCAGTGTAAATAAATGCTAAATTCTGTAAGCCCAGGGAACGGCATTAGCGTGTTTTGCTTGCTGAAACATTTATGGAATCAGTGTCAGCCAACAGAATTCAGCCAAGAGGGTTTTTTTAAAGGTAAACTGCAGTGCTTTTAAAATAAATACTACAAGTTGTTTAAGATCTTCAATTATTAACAAAAGAAAAGCGTGGGCTTAAAAACTGCAAACAATCCCTTTCCTAGCACTTTCCCTAACCCCTGTGCAGTTATCTCTGTGTCCAGCCTGGAGTGAGCTCCTCAAGGCAGATGCTGGACCTTCACAGATGTCTGGAAAGTGTCTAGCACACGGAGAGAGCTTCCACAAATGAGTAACTACATTTAGAATCCCAAATATTCGAAAACCAAATATTTTTATATTTACTTGTCAGGACTTAATGTCAAGACCCCATGTTGATGGTCGGCCTAGGATGGCATTGCCAGCCCCTGTAAAGCAACACTGTAAAAATTTGGCTCTGCTGTGAGTAGGCAGCTACTGGCATCATCACCTCCTTGGAATCCAGAGACCAGCTTTGCAGTCTGATCAGGTCACCACTCTGATTTAATCATGATTATAAGTTGCACAGCCCATTTCTAGGAGTGCAAGCCTTACCTCCACAAGTGAGAAAAAAATGCCAAAGATGTGCAATGGTGTGAACACCCGTGTTGGGTGCTGCCTACGTGTTGCACTGTGCAAAGATTAAGGGCATGCATGAGTTGGGTCAGAGAAATCATTCTTTTATAAGCTGAACTGTCTTTTCTTTCTCTGCACAGGGAAAGAGCGGGTAAAAGTGTCCAGAATTCTCACAGTTCTTTAGAAAATAATTTTATAACTGCCTCTAAGGGGATGATTTGCCTCCATTTACTCTGATCAGAAATGCATCTGATCATCCCCAGACACTGATCTGCACCTCTCAGGTTTCAGGACATACATTTGATATGTTTTGAGGCATGTGAATTTTTTTTAATAAAAAAGTTTCTCTGTTCCACCTACCCATGGCTCTTCCCCAGTCCTTTAATCCTTTTCTGACTGGGCATTCTGACTTCTCTTGGCAGGGTTCCTCATACCATTCCTTGCAACAGCTATTCATGGTGCAAGTGGCTGCCTAAGTGAGAATAAAGCAATTTTACAGGCAGTAGCTGTATTGCAGCAGTAAGCTTGACAACAGTGCAGGGAGCCTGGTGATGTGCATGTATCTCTTACCCTTCCACAAGTAGCATCCATTACATCTTCTGAGGACATTTCCCAAGTTGCTGCATAGTTAGTATTTTTTTTTTTTTTAACTTTTCTCTCTGAATACTTTATTGGTAATGTATTTAAGCTTGCTAATTACTGGAATCATCAAGATTTAAAAACAGGCTGGCTGCCCTAATGGGGCACTGCACAGCACACACATCAATTCATGCTAGCAGTATTCAGAACCTCATCTCCTCTTCAAAGCTAGTTTATTATCCTCAAGAAGATTTTCTCTAATTAAGCTGGCTGAAGGTCCTGTACATCTTCTGGTGGTACATGTTCCCCTTGACTGCCTAAACACCTTGTCACCTCATGTTTATGGTGCAAGCCTTTGATTTCACAAGTACTGCTTTGTTAACACAAAGGGCATTGATTTGTGCAGATATTATCTTCTCTGGACAGCTGTAGTAGCAGAAGCACTTTTATGAAGTGAGTGATAATGAAGCTGTATTTAAAATGAGAGAGCTTTTTTGTTCCTCTTTTTGTCTGTTCTGGGTACCCTCTCAAGAGTACTGGGTATGTCCTATGATGCATAATAAATCAATTAATAATAATAATAATAATTAAGGATAAATTACATAAGACCTGGTATTAGAACTCTTAACCTCGTAATCTTGGCTACATAGTGGATTAACAAGGCTCCACTAAAATCACTAAAAAGGGAGGCCTTTATTGGCTTTTGTGGAGATGTATTTGAAGCTACAAACATTTCAACCTGCAAAGTTTTGGCGTGGGTTTTTTTGGGGGTTTGTAGCCATCTGTAGTCTTTTAACTTTCTTGTATTGTTGACATTTTTTGGAAGTAGGTGGGACATTGTTTTAATTTTCTGGTGAAGGTGACACTCCTGACTGATGTAAAGAATCAGAGTGATGTTGATGCCGACTGCAATTCATTTTCTGTATGTATTTAGAATTAGTAGACTGAACAATGTGAACATCTAGAGGAAAAGCTTGACTGCCTCACGTAAGCACAACAGTTTCTTTTTTCTCCAGAGGCACTGGTTACCCAGAAGAGTAGCCAGAGGCAACTGAGCAAGCAGAGTGGCCCACTCTTATACAGGATGCTTTGATCCTGTCAGTAATGTACTTCACGTAAGGATTTCTTTGTGAAAGCCGGAATGTTTCATGCTGAACATCTCTCCCTTTGGATAGCAGCATGAACCATTAACATATATCTGAACCAGCTGGAGAAACCTGAAAACATGTTCTGACTAGAGGGATGTTAGCACCCAGCTTTTGTTTTCCAGCAGGCAGTGAGTTGATCTTGCCTGCTGGGCAGCTGAAACCACCTTTGATTGTTTCTGCAATGTTCCTTCAAGGCTGTGGAGCAAACACGGTCTCAGCCATAGCTGTGAATTGACAAGTGGGTTGCCTACAAGTGAAAGTGCTTGTCAAGAGATGTGTCATCCTTATAAGAAAGTATTTAAATTAGCTGGTTTTTTTTTAATAAGTAAAAAAAAAAAAAAAGAATTGAAAATCTCAGATGATAGATTTTCAAAGTTAATAGTTACCACAAACTCTCTTGGCAGATGTATAACAGACATTTACGGCTCATGAATCACATTTTTCAAAAATCACAGCTAATATCAACTTCTCTGAGGAGATGACAGCATTTGCAGGAGACATTAATGACTTCTGGCTCTCAGTCATTGCAAAATCATGAGCTTGTAATTGTTCTGGTGTGGCTATTTGTAGACTATAGAGTTCTAGAGGTCTCTCAGTACTTCCAGCATCAATAACTTGCCAGTGACAGCAGTTGCCATCATTGCTACCAGTGATAACAACTTTAAGACATTTGTAAATGCAAATCCTTACTAAAGGCTTATGAGGCTGGCTTTATTATTCTGGTTTTACAAAAATAAGGAGAAGGAGACAGAGAGAGGCCCATGAATCTGCAGCTTGAGTCAAGTGCATCTGAAGGTACAGCTGCTTAGTGGTTTAGAAATCTTGGCAACAAGTCACCTTCCCATTCTGGAAATGTTTGACTTCCTCATGATTAGGACTTTCAACAGTTTCATGCCTCAACAACAGTCATGTAATAATATTTTATTCATACCTCTTTCTGGACAACCTCTGTTATAAAGTGATCCCGAAATCTTGGAGCAAACCCAACACTGCTGGTTCTGACTCTCCCTCTCTTGAGAGCGAAGTAAGGTGAGGGGGATGTGAAGCAGGGGGAGATCCTAAGAAGTCTGGGAGCTCTCACTAAGTGTGGGTTTGGTGGTCCTTCAGCATCTCAGGCTCTGCCTGGCACTTTCTTTACCTCTGCAAGAACCCAGAATAAAAGTAGGGATGTGACTTCAGTTTGCCATCTCTCCCAATGCTCTGGAGTGCAATTCTGTGGCACCCCAGCATTTGCTGTGTGTCTCATGGTTCTTGCCCCACTTCAGTTCTGGTTGTTCTTTGTTTTCCCTGGGCTTTAACTCTCCCCAGTACTGTGTGTGGAACACCTTAAGCATGTTTTTCATGAATAGGCAAAACAGCTAATATATTCCCTCCCCAGGGAGGGGGTATTTTGGTAACAGGTAAGTTAATAGATGTTTTACTTTAGTCTGTGATCTAGGCTAAAATGGTAAATTTGTGAAATGTGGGGGAACTTCTGGAGGGAGTTGATTTGTGAATGCACATCTTTACATCATCAAGGTAATGAGTTCAGATGAGGGGGGATGAAATAAAACTGACATACTACTGTGCAATTTATAGCCTCTCTAAATTTTGTTCTCTTGCTGATAAGTGCTTCCTTCTGTTCTCTCTGCAGGTCTCCAGGTGGTTTTAAATTCCATTATCAAGGCCATGGTCCCTTTGTTGCATATTGCCCTGCTAGTGCTGTTTGTCATTATTATCTATGCCATCATTGGACTGGAGTTATTCATGGGGAAGATGCATAAGACCTGCTACCACGTGCAAGGGGGACTGATAGGTAAGGGGAACATCTACACACATACAAAGATTTTCGGAGGGAGGCACAGGAGATGGGTGGCAATTGCTCACTGCCTGTGTACATGTTTGGGGTTTCACAGGGGTGGCTCCTCTGTTCTGCTTCTCAGATATGAACGACCTGAGGTGCAGAGAGACTGCAATGGTGACAGTTTAGCTTGCTCATCTTGAACACTCAGCCTTTGGCCTGTCTGTAAAGGCTCTGTGCAAAGCTATTGATTCCTGCTAAACAGTCATGGAGTTTTTAATGTGGACCTTTGGCACAACAAGCCCACCTGAGTCCTTTAACAAATCTCCCAGAGGCTCAAATAACACTAAAATAGTGATAATTTCATCGTTAGCAGACAGAGCTGTACACGACACGGCATCATGGAAATTAACAACTCATGTATTTTATTGTAAATCTCATACACAAATGCATCTTTGTTTTAAACCAGTATCATTGGAAAGAAATACATGATTTAGGGCTGTACCTTTTTTTTTTTTTAATCACAGACTGTGGCTGTGGTTAAAAATGCAGCTAGAAAGAAAACAAAACTATATTAATGGGAAGAAACTTTTTGCATCAAATCCATCATGAAAGAACTTTCAAATTATTTACAGAAAGAAATATTCCCATTTCAAAGTATTTCAATTGCATTGTCACTCACTCATCTAACCATCTGCTCTTTTTCATTTGATTTATTGAACTTGAACAGCATTGATTTCTCATGTGGTGGTGGGTGCTAATGCCTAGGACCTAGAGCAGCTCATAACTAAGAAAATATTTTACAGCAGGAACTTGTTTCAGAAGTTCTGTATTTTCTGCTTTTATAATGTTGGCAGATTTTCTGGAAATGATGCTAGAACTATAATGAATTGTCACTGTGGTTTACATCTTTAAAGTGTGCATATCTTTCTCCATTTTGTCTGGAAATATTTACATTAAGGCATCTAATTCTAAAATTACTGTTTCTGGCATTCTTTAATGATCAAAATATGATCATAACTTTTCGAAAATGAATTGTTTCCCATATAAGATGTGAAAAAAACAGAATTACCTGCTCCCCAACACATTCTTACCTGCATCTGTTAAAATTGTATCCCTAAGATCTGAAATCCATATATTTTTAAAAGAATATTGCAGAAGTTTTTGTGCTTATAGAAATGTTTTCCATGGTATTTTCACATACCAAAGCATTTAGTTTGGCTTGTTGTATGGGTTCCCAGATCTCTGAAAACACCAGAATAAGAGATCAATAATCAAGTAACTGTCTTATAGAGTTTGTGAGTGCCACTGGGCTACTGATGAAATGCCACACAGCTTCTAAACTCCAGAAGAGCAGAGCTCCAGATGATCTCTGCTCTAATTCTGCAGTGGCCCAGTGCCACATCACCTTGTCTCCAGAGTACTGAAGCCTGTGTGATGCAGGGGCTCAGCCTCCTTCAACAGAATGGCCCTCAGTGCTGCACTTCCCTTCCAAGGTTAACCCAGATGAACACGCTGCCATTATTGGTCGTAACAGCAGCCTAATGAAACATAATTGACTTGGTCTAATGTTCCCTCTCATGTTGAAAGGTGTGACTTCTTCCTTATAGGAGGGTATACTTTGAAAGAAAAGTCCATCCCTGCTTTGACTACAAAATTTGACAGCTTGTTTTCTTGTTGTTTTGTTTTGTTTTGTTTTTTTTACAAAAAGAAAGTGAAGCACAACAGTGACCTTGTGTATTCCTGAGAAATCTGTCAAACTCACTGCAAAATGTAGTTGTTAAAATCAGATATCCTTCATGGTGTGTCAAACAGCAATTAGTTCTCTTCATCTCCTTTTCTCCCCCCCCTTTCTCCCCTTTAAGATACGCCCGCAGAGGACGACCCATCTCCCTGTGCCCCCCAGTCGGCGCACGGGCGGCAGTGTCAGAACGGCACGGAGTGCAAGGCAGGCTGGGAGGGACCTAAACATGGCATCACCAACTTTGACAACTTTGCTTTTGCCATGCTGACAGTGTTTCAGTGCATCACGATGGAGGGCTGGACAGATGTGCTCTACTGGGTACGTATCCGAAAATGATAAGCTGCAAGTCCTGCTCGTGTGCTTACGGCTATGTGGAAACTTGGGGGCTTTGGCTTTCTTGCTTGCTCTGTACAGTGAAGGCATGGTTGCTAGCATGGAGCTTTAATTAACTCAGCGTATTATTAGGTAAAATGGGAGGGCTTATCTGGTGCAATTAAATCAAATTTAAATGCTGACTTTCCATTGATATTCTAATTTTGAAAGAGGTAAATGGCTTATTGATTTGAAGATCTGCAGTGTACCCTTGTTGAGCAGAAAGTCACGTAAAGACCCTCTCTGCAGGAGTGAAATATCTCATACATCTCCAGATTACTGATGTAGAAGTATCTGTGACAGATAACCATGTGCTCTACCTGTGGCATTTATGTTACAAGGCACTACACTGATCAGCTTGTAGGTTTTATAAGAAAGGCCTCAGAAATTCCAGCACTACTTATGATTATGATTTTTACCACAGAAGAATTTATTCTACTGCTAGTAACTCTGATACTGGAATCAATCATGGTTGCATGTTTAGCCAAAACATGATATTATCTTTAGTCTAAATGAAGTCTCATCTTGTCCTGTACCTTAATTCTGGGCATCTCAGTAGCTTTAGTTTGTACCTTTTAATTCCTAATATACTGGGAAATTCATTACAGTACAATTATACTATAGGAGTTAAAATCATATTTAGCCTTCACTAGTAAACCATATATAAACATGTTTCTGGAATCAGATCTTGCCATCAGCTTTTGCAGCAACAATTTATGGTCCAGGAATGTAATTCTCACACAGCACAGCCCCATCTGTAAAAGGTTAATCCAGGCTTTCACTAACTTGGAAGACTAGGACATCATGAGATGTGGTTCTCCAGGATGTGCTACAATGCATGATGCAATTTAACTCAAGAAGACCCAAAGCACACAAAAGTGTATTCTGGACTGGGGCAGCTTGCACTGTTAATCAGCATCAGCTTCGCTCTTAAACATGACCCTGAAGCTGTCTTCTACCCAGCAGTGATTTAGAGTTTACAAGATTTCCCTTTGAAGATTTAGCTTATCTGCAGTAGATGGTCTCTGTGTGGAACAGCTAGAAGTTGTCTCTTTGTCCTCAAGAGTTTAGATTAGAACTGTGACCCTAGCTTCCTTCTAATGCCTGAGATAAAGGCCAGAGATCAAACCACAAGGGGAGTCTGGGTCTCAGAGCACAAATATTGCCTTTACTTGAAAAGAGGGTATGTAATAATAAAATGGTGAAGAAGAGCAGAAGTCAGAAAAGGAACAGAGTGAAACTGCTGCACAGCTCAGCTATGGCTATATATAATATACCTGTCTTTTTATCACACCTAACTCACATTTCTCCAGCCCTTGTGTGATTGAGAGGATCTATAGGTAGTATAAGGAAAATTGGAGAGAGCCAAAGATATCAGAAATAAACATAAAAGTAGTTTTGGCTGTGTATACCATTTAGAATTGTGAAACCTGTCCACAAGCTATCATCAGTTTCCCCAAAGACACGTGCTGTGAAAGACCCTTCCAATTCCCACCCTTGTGGGCCCATTTGTCATTTTCATGGCTGGATATGAATCATGCAGAACTCAGTTATCAGTTATCTAATAACAGGAGCCAAAAGCATTCACTTCACTGCCAAATGATTTTCTACTATGACTATGCTGACACTCTGACTTTTAGGGTGTCCCTGCAGCAACCTGGGTTTTAGATGTTGCCTTTTGTTTGGTATTCAGGCAGCTTTTTTAACTGATTTCCTGAGCTGTTCTTTTTTTATTTAGAGACACTATGGTGAAATTAGACCTGAACTTAATACAGATTGATGTTCATTATTTTTAGGGGCATCCATATAGTCAGCCTCTTAGATTATGGCTTTGGTAGAATGCTTACTTTGGAAACAAAAGAAATATTTGTTATCATCAGTTTCCAGCTATTCCTGGCGAGGACTACAAAAGATAAGAGTTAGCACTGCAGAAAGAAATTTCAGTAATTGAAGAGGAGGAAATTTAGGTTACAAAATAAAAAAAAAAATTACCTACCTTTAAGGACTTGAAATACAAAGTTTGAGTAAACACCTGAGCTGGCAGACATACTCAGTTACGGTGCTGTAAGCAATCCTAAGAGCACTGTTGGCCCACAGGACTTTTTCCTCTTTGTGCTGTGTTGAAGAAGCAGATAGAAGTCAACTCTGATCAGTGTTTGCCATCTGCTAAAGGAGGTATCTGAGATGGGATGTGTATTTCCTTCTGCAGAGGGGTCTGTGCTGCTCTGGGGACAGGTATTTGGGCACTTACTACAGGGCACACCTACGAGAAGGACTGTCCCTTTAATATTTATGTGTAGAAACTGTCTCTAGACATTCACACTGTGATTTCATGTAATTTCAAACCACATCTATTGTGATTTGAAACCTCTGTAGTCCATGACTTCTGGATAGCAAAGCATAGAGAAGATGAGACATTTCACTTCCTGAAAGTGTCAGAAGAATTTTAGTGAGGTAGGATATAAATATCTGTCTTAAACTTAGTGTGAGCCACTGTTTCCTCAGTGCAGTCTGACTCATACATAACTCTCCTCCCTGGCCTTTGCTTTTTTAGCCAAGGAAGAGTGGACTTGTCACAGATAACCCATTGGGGGCTGCATCTCCACAGGAATGCAGAGATAGGAGGCTCTTCTCAGGTAGATAACTCTGAAAGATCTGGATCCACAGTGAGGTCATGGAAATTAAAATTTGCTTTATAAGACAATAAATCTGCACAGTTAATTAAATTAGAAATCCAGACTTAAAGGTCCTTTCTCTCCAAATAGATCCTGACATATGTTGTCCATTTCACACTGAAAGTACAGATTAAAGAACAGTATAAGAAAATTTTGTCTGCAAGTCAGTTTTGCAGATTTTCAGAGGTCATTCATTAAACTTAATGATGTAAGCTAATGGATTAATATTTAAAAGTGCTGAGCATTCAAAGTTCAAGCAGACTTTCAAGTTCTTAGATCCTCTGCAATTCAGGGTAGATAACTAGGTTTGAATCTGGGGTCCTGCTGGGTTCAATGGCAAAATTCTTGTGAGTTTCAAAAGGTCAGGATCTCACTTTTTTTTTTTGGCAAAATCTTGATCGTGCTGTGGAGGTTTTCCACACACAGTTATAATACAACATGAGGACTCACAGATGCCTACTCAGGGCCTTGGTATCTGTTGAGATAGTCTTTCAAAGACATATGTGTGGATCTAGGGAGTTTTCTTTGCTCCCTTCTTAAATCTGAAAATATGTGCCTGACCTAAAATTCAGCAGAACGACAGATAAAGCCCTGGGCTGAATCACTTGGCTGGAAGTGTTTCAGCAATGGAGCAATACCCTTGCTTTGAACTTTTCTATAAGTGCTTTTTAATTATAACAACTTCTTTCCTGAAAAGTAATTTTTGAAGGATACCTAGGTGTCTGCATTCCTCTCAGTGGGAATGGAGGGAGCTTAGAACAGTTTAGCACGTTGCCCTGAATAATACAGTGGTCATTTCATGAAACCTATGTCTGTAGTGTGCCACACTTTGCAAGGTTAAACCTGCATGTTTGAAAGTTAGAAAGCTGTATGACCTCCCACAAGCCCTGGACTCCTAATCCACTTAATAACTCTTCAAATTTTTATCTTCAGTCTCCTGCTCCTTTGTTCATGCTTCCCTGTGTAGGCTTTTCACCTGTACAGTGCAGCCTGTCTCCTCTTCCATGGAGTAGTACTGTTTCTCAGCTTGTCATCCACATCTTCACAAAAAGACTATCAGAGATAGGAAAGCAATAAGCTTTTATTCCCTGGAAGGACTTGACATCACTTTCCAATCTCCTCCCTGACTTAGCAGATAAGACTTGTGAGCAGATTGTTTTCTTTTGAAATGTGAAAGAAAAATGCTAGGGAAAACAGTTTGACACTGCTATCATGGAAGGTAGGATAATAAAGTAAAAGGAGCCAAATTTTTAATGTGAAATAACTATATTGGACAGGATGAAAATCCGTGCTAAACAATTTTGTTGACTCTTCACTGAAGAACTGATCTTTGTTGAAGGGAGTGTTAAGTGTTTGTAGAAACACATCTCCTATACTGCCTCAGTCTTACCAGGTTTACTTATGTCCCAGTAAAAATGCCAGGTGGCTTTGTCTCGTGTGCAGACAGTTCATAGAATCGTTGCAGTAGACAGGCACCTCTTATGATATGCCACGTTATAATTTTTCATATGCATTGTTGAAGGATTGAGGTTATTACTCTCAAAACTCTCCTTAATGTATGATCAGCCAGCATTAGCAGCTTACTTGGTGCAGGCACCAAGGCCCATTTCTGAAGACCCCTCAGTCTTGAAACTTCCTGCAGCAGATGCAAATCCAAATGTTACAAATTAAGTCATTTAGTATTTTGTGATCAGTCTCTGCTGCAGTCCCTTATTTCGCATTCCCTTGTTGACTAAGGAGGAAAATTAATCCCTGTGCAGTTTATAACTTCCTGTTTAGATGTTTTTAGGCATTTGTTGTCTTCCCTTAATCTTTTTCTAATCTGAGCAGATTCAGTTCTTTCAACCTTCCCTAATGGGGCTTCTTTTAAATTATTTTTAATCAGTTTGTTACTGTCCTTCAGGGGAAGTTTCACTTCTGAATTAAACACAATTTGGACAGTGCCCTGCCTTAGAAAGTTTTCATCTTTGTGTGAAATGTGCTCTCTGCAACTGGAGCCAGGGCATGACACTGCATGCAAACCTGCCCACTGCAGCCTGAGTTTTACATGCCTGGTCTCTCCACTCCCCTGCATCTAAGCAGCCGTACCTGTAAATGAAAACAGAGCACAGAGAAATTGCAAAACGCAACCGTATGTTGTTGCACTGGGCAGTTCCTACTGCTGGGTAGTGGAGAACCTGGTCCCGAGTTTTTCTGCTTGCCCATTACATCTTGATCTCTAGGATTGAGTAATTTGACTTGATCTGCTTGAAGATTTTTAATAATGAGCAG